TCACTGCGAGCCGGGATACCTATGGTTACATTTCGAGTAGGGATAAGCGGGTTTTTCTTATGGTTACTCATCGTAATTCTGTCCTTTTTCTCCTACTTTCTCCTTGATAGTGTGTAATTATATTTATTGACCATATTCAATAGCACTATGAATCAGGCATAATCAACAGTGATCTTCTTATCCGTACGGAGTACTTTGTTGCAGTTAAGTTAACTTTGCGTGGTTGTCCCTGGCAACGAAGAACATCCCAGCCACCAGCGAACACATCATCAGCACGAGCAAAATGTTCACCGAGATTTGATATGCGACGCCCCCCCAACCGTACTTGTGAGATTGTTTTCAGTGTAAAATATTGCTTATCTACGAGGACCTTCCGGTGATGATTGACGTATGCAGCCATCCATCCCCTTTTTGAGTCGAGGACGGCTGCCAACTTTTGTTTACAGTGTATATAACGGGATCTCGGGCCTACGGAACCGCCATCTACGTCGCTTTTACAGACCTTTACTCTTCTAAGTCGAGGTGAAGAACAATTCTACGACTCCCAATCGACGATGACCACCCCGCAATTAACAGAAGACAAGATAAAGATAGACGCCGCGGCGAACAGTAACCCAGTGGACAACGGGTCAGCCAAAGCCACCTGTACACAAGCTCCCGCAGGCCCGAAAAACAAGAATCAAACACTGGGCGAAGCAGATATATCGATGGATGATATAGATACAGGATCTGGGCCGCATGAGAATGGCACTGGTGGGCCTACACAAGCCAACGAGGAATATAGATACAGCTCTTCGTCCACATCACAGCCAGGATCAAGAGGTAGCTCTGGAAACACTGAATATGGAGAAGGAGAGATAGACGATTTCCCGTACGACGATGAGTTTGAAGATGAAGACAAGTCCTTTGTCAGTGACCTGCGAGGCGGTGGGAGAGAGATTCGTTCAGCACGTACTTCGATCTCGTCACTACCAGGATCGGTTGTTGTATTCCCCAATAACAAGCCAGCGGGAAGTGGACAGCTCTCAAGGGGAGATTATCGACAAAATATCAATACCAATGCTTCTGATAGGAATCCCATGTTTGAAAGCCCCCTTTCTGGTGGCAGAGTTCGCTCCAAGAAAAAGATAGCTAAGGATGGGCGGTACAGCTATGCACCGCATGTGAGAGGCTTGGACTCCCCGTTTCGCCACCCCAGCTCCGTACGGGCTATGCAGATGGGGGATGAGGACTATTATGATGACGGATGTATGGATGATGGGAACTATTTCTCGTCTCCACTGTCAAGGAATGGTCGGATGGGCGGCCGTCAACATGGATCTCCGAGGATGTCAGACGCTTCGTTCAGATCAAGACCTATGTCTCCCTCTGATCAACGGTCATATCATGCCAGTCCACCTCAGCCAATCCAGCCGAGCAAGGAGTATGCACTTATTCTGCTTCATTGCACCTTACTTCCACCGTGTTTCCCTCTCTCACTTCCCCCTGGATTACCCCCACCAAGCAAAGAGTTGCTCAAAGAGATATTACCTGATGCTTATTGGACTAGATGGAAATTACTAGAAGAGAAGATCGGCTCTACCGGCCTTCTACGGGACAGAGGAATCCTTATATCTCATCCCCAGGAGGCATATGACTTGCTCGAGGAGCGTTTGCTGGAAACCCTGGGGTTGACTCGCCCAAGACTTGCATATGGTCATTTCATTGGGGGGGAGGATGATACCGATGAGGATGAACAAGTCACTGAAGATGAAGATGAAAATAACGACACTGAAACAGGTTGTGTGAAACACAAATGCCAGGATTGCGGCCAAAAGCTCATCATGAATCGTGATGGGGTTGAAAAGAAATGGGAGGTCAGAGTCTACGCTGCAAACGGGCTTATGGGACAGGGCGCTTGGTCAGCTGCTTGGAAAGAGATGGAAAAAGTCGATGTGGAAGTTGGGTTGTGTCTTCCGACGAAGCTGAGGAATGAGCTGGAGCAAAGACTCGCTCAGGAGATGTTGAGGCCGGAAGCCAAGGTGAAGGATTTTCCACTCCAAGAATCCAAAGCAAGTGAGATCCCTTCAGCACGTCTTCAGTCGCAAATTGATGGGTTGGATGAACCCCCACAGGCAAAGCCAACAGCTAAATCGCCGGCTCGCGAGAGAGGGCGAATAGCGTCTACCCCAAAATCAACACAGTACTCTAGGGATGATGTCAACCTTTGGAAAGCACTCTTTGATTACATACGAATAGTGTGTCGAGGCAATCAGCTCCCGATAATGACCGTCTTTCTTGTTCTGCTTGCTCTTCTGACTCCTTCTCCGTACCACCTCTTTGGACATTCCTCCTCGGATGTTACCATTCCGCAGCTCGACACCATATCCCTAGATCAGGCTTCAATTATGCCAATGCCTACCAGCGGAGCAGAAGAAGTGTCTCAGCCACCGGTTAGCTCGGAAGAGATTGTGGAAAGCTCATGGCCGGTAATACAAGAATTGCCGACGGCATCGTATTCTGAGGCCAGTTCTCAGGAAACTGTATCAGCCCAATTAGATTCTTCTGCCTCGCATCCTAGATTTCAAGAGCAAAAAACATCATCCGACTTGGATCTCTTGCTTGATGAGAATCCTTCAGCTGAGACAATCGTTTCGACGCAATCAGGTCTTCCAATGTCTGACTACCAACAGCCAAAGGATACCACTATACCCTCACAGCCCGATGAGCCTGCTTTCTCAGTTCTTCCAGCTTCACCAGATTACCCAACACAACAGGATCAGCCATCCCCTTCACACACACCAAGTTCCTCTTCCTATACAACTTCATCTGCCTCTCCCAGTTTGCCTCCTGTTGGAAACGGAGAACAGCCCGTAGATACACAAGATTTTTTACACTATTCAGTATCTCAAGGCCATGCGCCTATTTCTACCGATGCTGCAGCACCTGAGGTCGAAGTAACACGCGATGAGACATATGAATCTGTATCAGTGCCACCACAGTCAACGCCTGCTCCAACCTCTGCCGTTATGGAGAAGGGAAACGGGCTACAGTTCCAATTGAGTCCCCACGAGAAGGTTGTCCGTGCAGACTCAGAGCCCTCCACGGATGAGGAGGATCAGTAGCCGATCTTGCATCAATATTTCTATTTTTAGCCCATCCTTTTCTTTTTCGATCTGAATATTCTATGTTTATGTTTATGACCTCATCACGCCTTGATGTCGCCCAAATACTTGCTGTCATTCGTGTTTCTACCTGTACTTCCCCAATATACCCCTTTCGCCGCACTATACAAACGACGAGTTGTTGCAACTTTGTATGTGTTCAATCCATTATTGGCAGCGTTTCACTTTTTTCTTTTTCTCTTCTATATTCCGTATCATTTTAAGCCCTTTAAGCAAGCGAATTTCCTCGATCCATTATGCCCTCAGCATTACCGCAGTTTTTGCCTGTCTTTTTTCTTGAAAATTGAGGAATTGTGTGCACCAAATACGCATGCGATAAGTTTGGCTAGTATTTACCCTTCAAATAAATATGATACTGATAATACAAAAGATATACACTATGAAGTCTCTCTGTTTTTACTGTAGAAACGGCTGTATGATCATGCCGGAATTTCTGATTTTCGTTTGGCACCTGAAAGCCTTGAAAACAACCTAAACTAACTATAACTACATGCTTAGTGCCAACTTTTAATCCCTATGGACGTATTAAATTCAACTACATCACATCCTTTGAGTATTATTTGGTATTGTATCGCTTCGGATACGGGGAGGCTGACATATAACTTAGTTCCATCAGCCTTGAAGCTGTGGCCTCTTCAGCCCAACAAGCTAGCTTCTTAACTATTCCCCGAAGAGCCCCAAATCAAGGTGTAAGACATCCATGTTGTGGCGTCTGGGGAGAGAGGAGAAAGAAAACAATGCATACCTAGCCAGAGCTAGGCTAGCACATGGCAATGCGGTGTAATCGAAGGCCATGGACCAGGCTTTCTAGAATCCCAGCTGGATTGACATTACTGAGAGAGCGAGGATCAGCCATCGCTTGACAGATGTCATTGCACGGATGACGGTATCGCTCGGTGAGATGCATTCTGAATCTCTGACACTGGAGTTGTACCGAGTCAACCACTACTCAGTTCTACCCGAAGCTGCAGCATCAAAGTTTAACTTAGCCTCCACGAGAAAAGCCCAAAGTCTTGGTGTTCGCTAATAATAGGGAGGCACGTTGAAGACAGGCATTTAGCCCAAGGTTTAAGGCCACTAGAGCCGAATGGCCGCAGGCTGGGGTCACGTCCTGAGCACTCTCTAGATACTGCGCCTAGGAAGAGATGGCAGTGCATATGTTTCGTCGACGCCCTCTTACCCTGCTGTGGGATTTGGTAGCTGGAAAAAGAGTTATATCAGCTATTAACAACAGTTAGTGTATTGACTGGGGTGATTACTTTTGCAGACATCAGGTAGCTAGGACAAGGTCACAGAAGCTTAACGTCCGTCTCAGGCAGATATTTTGATATACTGCACGATGGACATCCCCCTGTTTGGTTGTTAGTATATTTATACTCGAAGGAGTTAGGTATGTCTTACTTTTAAGGACGAACCACAGATCCTAAAGATACCATTTTACGGAAATTCAACTACCATGCGGGGAAGTGTAACCCTAAAATTAGTATCTGTAGTACTTCATTTTGGGGCTTCGAGTTTCATTCCGTGTCCAAGAGGTCTTATCCAATTGCTTTTCTGGGTAATGCAGAAGCTTGGGTACCATAGCTCCAAGAATAGAACTCCACAGCTTAATTAGTGCAGAGTGCAATTAGTCCCATGCAACTAGGCTGAGGGATGGCAGTGTATCATTCTCATAGAGGATAGCAAGGCGAGAAATCGGGGTATAAATTAGACAATCTTCCCCAGAAAATCTGTATTTCTTCTCATCATCGCCAACAATCAGATCTCCCTTTCACTCCAAAGAAAACTTAGAATTCTCTGCACGATTATCTCAGTTCACGCCATCACCCAGCCAATATGAAGCTCACTGCCCTCTTTGTATCTGCCGCAGCTGTCGTCCTTGCTGCCCCGACGGCGAATTTAAACAACCCGGAGATTGAAGCACGCAATACTCAATTCGTCTCCCCAAAAGACACCTTCCTTCATTACATCAACACTGGTATCACCAATCATGACGTTTATGGAAGACCCCTGGTGGTAAAGAATGGCAAAGCCGCTGAAGAAACCAGCGCAGTCGTCACCTTCGATTTTGACGGGAGTTATAACGGTCGTCGATGCAGACTCCGCTTCGACACTTCAGCCGGTGATATATCCAAGGGTTCGCAGCAGCTTGACGTATACAGCGTGATTAACCCGCCAACCTGGCCCATTCAGAGCCCATTCAGCAGAGACCAACACCGTGGCCGAATCTATGTTTTGGTCTCCGGAACTGCACAGTGGGTGCAGGGTTATAATGGATATCCTGAATTTGACTGCCCCGTCAACAAGCGCATTGGGTATGAGTTCGTTGGTGTTTATGATTATGACATTATCGACTGGAACGTCGGTTCAACTGGACCTCGCATTGAAGTCTTGTAATGGGGGGTATAATCCACGATGGCTGATCAATCGATGTTTTTCATCTCTTTTCATCTCTTTTATAATAGTCAACGGCTCACCGCTGCATGTTTAATTCTCTTAATGTTTAGATCAGTGCATGCTGATCTATAGCAAGTATATAACCTTTGAATGCCATTTCGATGTTTAATTGCGACCATTGTTCTTACCTAACGGTAACTCTGCATTAACCCTGAGGTTGTAGTAAATTCATGTTTTTTTTTTAAAGTTCGATGCTTGAACGTTTTTCAATTTTGAGCCTCAAGAGGGTCACGTGCACAAACAACTCCAATTTCAACCAACCTCATCCTCCACGTCAACATAACAAAACCACCGATGGTGTCTGCTTGATAGAGGGATCTTGTTTAGTCTAGCAATAGCTTCTTTACAGCTATGCCGTGACCAGAAATTTGCAATGTTTGATACGATTGGTTCTGCGGGGCCGTGAGGAAAAGCACATCCTATTGCTGCCCAGTCAACTGAGCTTCAGAGACTTTCATTATGGGTAAACCTACTCTAATGCGAAACAAATTCTTTGTGGATTAGGCATTATTTATTTAGGGATCAAGTCATGATGACACTATCGATTCCATCCTCAAGCTCTCGCAAATATATCTGGTTTCTCTGCACTGCGTACCGGCTGTTCAGCAGCTTGACCACTAGCCTCCTCTTCCAGTTCTTCTCTCAACTTTTGCTCTTTAAGCTGTTTCAAGTGCTGGCAAAAGAGACTTCCGGCTCTTATCCGATCTCCGTACCGAATAAAAGCGAAAGGAATCGCTGTCATAGCCAAGCTGGCAAAAGCAAGCAGACTACACCCCCAACTTATACCAAGAGATGAATACATGCGGCCTGCTGCTACTGGGAGGGCGGTTCCAAGAATGCTTCGAGCAAAACTCGCAGCTGACTGTGCGCTTGCTGAGAATGTCTCGTATGCGTCAGAAAGATAGTTGATCATTGCAATAAAAATGAGGAGGAATCCCGCACCGAACGGGATGCCAGAGAGCATGGGGATAGACCAGTGGATATTGGGTGAAGCAGTCCACCCCAGCCAGAAGAGAGATACAACAAATAGCGGGCCCCCAACGACAGCTAGTGGAAGTCGCCGGTATTCTTCCACGTCTGCCCAAGGAGCGTTTCGAAGTTTTGAACGGTTAAGATAACTATCCCAGCAAAAAAATAGACCGAGGGCTGCAGCAACTCCGGCGCCAACTAATCCAATTTATCAGGCTAATTCGAACTGGGATAATAAAGGGAGATCAACTTACTTGGTAGGTACATCAGCCCTGCAATTCCTGGGCTCATATGGTATGTCTCTTTCCAAGGTAAACAAGTTAGCATTCATTTGTTTCCCATTCACTCCAATTGTCCAGATACTCACTTTGAAAAATTAACGGATATGTCTGAAAATACATGAAGAAAATGGCATAAACCAATGCTAGATATAGACACGTGAAAAGCACGATTGATTCAAATATGATCATTCTAATAGGCCTTGTCAGGGTCACAGTCAAGGTCTCTTTGATTCCTTTCTTCTCAAGATCGAGAGCCGAAACTATTTTATCATCACCTGTTTCCTTGCGCAGTTTCCGAGCTCTTTGTTGCAGAAGCACTGGAGCATATGTTTCGGGCGTCAAGAGAACTATTGGGGCTGTCAACCCGGCAAATATCAAGCCTACCCAGAAGCTCCATCTCCAGTTTACTACTGATATGAACCCTGTGACAGGTGGGCCAACAATTGGGCCCGCGCATGTTGACTGCAAAAGTTAGCCTTGCCTTTGATCTGAATGAACGCTGGGGTTGCTCTTACTGCCATGAAAAAGGCCATATATCTCCCTCTTGTCCTGGGCTCATCATACACATCGGCGAACACTCCCCCAACAACGGCTATAGGCGCTGATGCTGACACTCCGACAAAAAACCGCATAGCCAGCAGAGCAGCCCAGCTTTGCGATAAGGCACACGCAAGCGTGAAGAGCATAAAGGCTGCAAAGCCTACTATAACCACCGGCTTACGCCCATAAGACTCCGATAGGGGCCCGCACACAATTGGCCCGAAGACATAACCGAGTAAAAATAGAGAGATTGGAAGAGTCAGCTGTTCAGCAGATCGAATGTTGAACTCCCGTGCTATATAGGGTATCGCTCCGCTGGGCAAAGAAGAACCAAGTGTGCTATTTAGCACGTTCATGATTCCAGAAAAGAGAATGAACAGTTTTTTGTTCTATATTCTGTCAGCTCAGCCTGGGATTGCACAGAGACTGAATCCATACCGTTGACCAATTTATTGGGTTTTCGGGGTCTTTTGCCTGGAACGACAGGATTGTCTTGGAGGCTACACGGCGACATCTATAGGAAGACTTGTAAGTGCCTCCAATAGGCATAGTTTTGCCTTCTTCATCGCCATTACCGACTACTTCGGATAATGATGAACCTGCAAGTATTTCTGGAACGGCTACAGGATCTGAGGAGGAATCAGCACCATCTCATGGTCCGTCGATGTTCTGGGCCACTCACTAGCAACTACAGCGATTTCTTTTAGCTGGCCATCAACTTGTGCCGGAGCCTTTTCGACTGTCCCCATCTCTCTTACAGCTTCGCAGTTTTGAAGGCCAAGACAGAAATGCCGAGTTTAAACCGAGAGAGCTGGGGGAATGTTTCATCCTCTATATTCTCGACGAAGGGCATCACAACATTATATCATATTTGGTTACGTCTTTAGGCTCTAATCAGTTTGAAATAACAGGGGAAGAGATCATCATATTCACACAATAATGTGAAGAAGACAGCATATGTAGTGGAATAACCGTGGGGACAGCCCGGTTAGCACGGCTTCTTTCATGCATTTCTTTTCTATACGGGTTTCCAGACCTCCTGTCTAAGATATAAGGAGCATTGATAACTGACTAACCAATCACTAGTCTGCAACTTCAGGAGGATGAGAGTGCGGAATTGTTGGTCTCGTTTAGCCTAGGGCCGGGGGTCCCTGAAACGTTTGCCGAGGGAGAGACCCGACATTTTTGGTTGAAAGTCTCTTCTTTCCTGCACTTTCTCGGGATAACTATACGCACTTGGCCTTTCCCCCACCCTTGAATCTGCATCCTTCAAAAATAATATAATAATTCCAGGCCTTGACTCTGGGTGGAGACTGTCGACTCGTGGAAACATCGTACCGGGATTTAGCGCGAATGCCTGCAGACGCTTTGACGGGAACAAGCATTGCACCGATAGACAGAGTTAGATAACTAATGCGGTGAGAGACCCAGCATCAGTACTTTTAGAGAACAACTGCTTTACCTAGCATCTACCAGAGCCCTTCACTTACTACTAGCTATGCCCTGCCAGTCCGTGATGTTAACCAACGCGTTGGTTAGTGAACGGGTTTAGTTTAGCCCGAGAGCCAAGAGCGGGACCGGCACGAAGAAGGCCTCCTGATGCTGTGCAACACGAAGATTCCGCTGCTGATGCCTGGCGGGACCTCGCCTGAATCGACACCCACGAGGTGCATGGTGTGAGCAAGGTCTGAGTGCATGACCGCCGATATGGAAGCAATGCGTCAACCCTAGCCAAAGATTACAGATGCATTTCCCGTATGGAGTACCAGGATAACTACTCCGTAGTGGCACATAAATTGTCGGCGACACATCTAGGCCCTTACACGACCATAGACAGCGTTATGAAAAATACAAGCGACCAAAACATCTCTATATATACAGAGTACTCCGTATGAGACGTCACTTTTATTCAGAGAGACAACGAAAATGCTTCCTACAGGGGCTATTATTGGTTGTTGCATGCTCGGGATTCGGAGAAAAAGAAAAAGGAATTCTTGAAGAACGGGGGAAATTGGCGTCAACAGGTCGCCCTCGCGCTCGGGTGGAGACGGGAGCCTGTTGAAGAAAAGAAAGTCGTCAAATATATATTATTCTGAACGATGATATCGATGGAAACACGTTTCCATTGAATATGCGATCGTCTGATGTGTCGGAAATTCATGACCGAGCATTAGTTATCCAGTTAATGCGGAATTAACTAGTTAGTCACTTTGTGGTTGGAATATCCAATCGAAATGCAAAACCGCCTTTCCGCCGAGTCTCCTTCCTGGATTGTGCTGGACTCTAAAGGTCAATCAACAAACTGTTCACCGATCACGTCAATCTGCCCTCGACCCTCGGCCCCCTCGTCAACCCAAACACTGACACTCTTTGGGCCAATTTTGAACTCGGCATAACCTCGAGGATCAACCTCTACGGGTGCTGTGGTCACCGCACCAGATGTGAACACTTCCGTCCACTTCTCACCGGCATGCCGTATGCCAACATACATTGTCTTCGACATAGGCGCAGCGCTAGTACTGGCGTTTAATACGCACGCCAGCCCAGATGGGTGCGCCGTGTCGCCATAACGAACGAAGCCTGCAGTTGCATCAGTAACTAGCTGAAGCTTTCAATCTCGAAAATGTAAAATCAAAGGTCTCCGAGAAACTAACCGATACATTTCTTGTTATCAAAATAGTCCCTCTGTTTCCCGTAAGCATACATAGTTCGAATCGTCGCTAAAGCCGCTAACTTATCAACGGGTGGAAGCCGATACTTGGGTTCCGTGTTGGTTATGCCGTAGAGATCACCGTAAAACAAACAGGGGTAACCATCCTGACGGAGGAGAATTAGCGCATATGCAAGAGGTTTAAACCAAGCATCAATCAATATCTATATACGGGTTAGCAAGGGGTGAATAGATTGCGGTTATCGATATTGTTGGAATCTTACTTCGAGTGATTGCCCTGGTTGCTAGGGTATATTAGCGGGTGCCGTCATGTTTGTTGATCTACATGGAATCTCACCGTATCGTGGTTCGAGACAAAGGTCTGGCAATAGTTAGATAGGTTGCCATCGGATATATTTGAAATTTAGGACATACCACTGCTTTCTGTGGGCGAACCTGCACGAGGGTCTGGTCAAATATTCTTCGTAAGTCTTGACCCTCCTTGGCGAAGAGGGAGAACCTCCCTGCTAAGGGAGCGTCAAACAAAGACACGAGACCTTCCATCTGATCATGATAATTTAGCATATCGCTAATATCCCCCGTCCAATATTCTGCAACCAGAAACCAATCTCTCCCGACAGTCTTTCGGATATGCTGAATAAACTCTTTTAAGAACCCTCGGGAATAATGCTTGACTGCATCAAGTCTCAGTCCTTTTAGCTTGAATTCGGTTCCTAGCCATTCGATCCAGCGCTTAACATCGTTCGTTACCTCAGTATTGGAATAGTCCACGTCTGCAAACATGAGATAATCATAATTCCCATTCTCAGTGCTGACATCCTTGGCCCAATCCTTGTTCCCCGAGCCGACTAATTTGTAAATCCCAGATTTTTGTTGGAGGGCGTCGTAATTGATTCCACTGAAATGGTACCAATGGTACTTCAGCTCGCTGTATTTGGTTCCACGGCCGGGGAAGTCGTAGCCCAGCCAGGCTTCTATCTCTCTTGGCTCAGTAATATTGACAGTTCTATCTATTGGACTGTTAGAATAAAGTCTTGAGCAAGTAACTGTAGCTTCGTCACCTTTTGGGTCCACTTCGACAGCCACGCATTTCTCCTTAGTATCTGCTCCAGCTTTATGGTTCAAGACAGCATCCCAATATATCCCGATATCAAGCTCGTTTGCTAAAGAAACGAATGCTTCAAGATCCGATCTTGATCCCCATTTTGTTGCAGTTTGGCCTTTTTGTTCGAACTCGCCTACATCATACAGGTCATAGATGTCATATCCATTACCGCCTGTAGCACCTTTGCAACCAGGAGGTATCCAGATGTTGTTCACACCCATTGACTTCAGCCGCGGGAGGCTTTCTCGAAGTCTGTTCCAGTGTTGTTGGTCTGTCGGAACATGCCATTCGAATCCTTGGAACATGAGATCATTTTCTTTGGCGACTTCGGGCTCTTTTTTGCTAGGTTAATTCAAATCCAGGAACAGCAGTGAAAGCTGTTCCCCAGAGAGGAGAACAAGTGACTAGCAATGAGATAGGGACTAACCATCCAGAATATCCCATTTCCTATTCCTCAGTCTGCTATATATCGACAGTATTTGGCCCATAGTGGCATGCTAACTGTATGAACTCAACGCTAAAAAGAATGCAAAAGATAGCCCATGCGGACAGAGAAAATGGTGCTGAAGAAGCTGGATCGACAGGTATTTATTGTATTCCAAAGCTCAACACTCCACCTGGAAACATCTTATCCTTGTGTCATCTTGAACCCTGGCTGTGATAGCTAGTGCGACTAAGATACGTGTAAGAAGCACAATAAGCAAGCTGCCCAATAGGATTTGTAGGTTTCCACTGTAATATCACCAGGATATAGTACAGTACTCCGTATAATACTTATCAATAATAACTACCAAACAACAAATGGCATTACAGAGAAATCATGAAGTTGGTGAAAGTTGAACTTTTATTGAAGTCAAAAATAAACTTTAAGGTTCGTTATCACATGATATTAAACCTTAATTCATTAACACGTTGACTAAGCGATATATGAATTTTGATCAAATACTTTTGAAAAGTAGAACTTTCGACGGAGAAACTCGAAGAGAAAAGGAAGGCCGTGGGGGAATTGTTCTGGTTGATTTTTCCTGATTATGGATGCTTTCAAGCTCCTTACAAGGTCTACAAAGATCAAATCTTCAACCAACGCCAAGGGAGCGGCGTCCAGTCCTCTGCCATCAACCGGCGAAGCTCGCACACCACAGTTATTTCCTGCAAAGCCAACTAGGCCGAATGCAAAAGGAGGCGATGATGATAATCGGGGGAAGAAGAGGAAGCGAGGGGCGGGTAATGAAGAGGACTCTGAAGTTAAGGATACGGCGCTGAATTTCTTTAGCGGCCCGGCTTCGTCTGCGCCCGAAATTACCTCGAAGATACCTATGGTCATAGATGCGGAAGACCAGAGCAGTGACGAAGATAACGGTCGCCATGATGTTAATGCACAGCTACTTTCACTCTCTGAAGCTGATAGAAAATCTATCTTGAAGTCTCATAAGATCAAAGTCACTGACCTTCGAACACCAAAGATAAACTGCGACGATGCCGGAATAGCGAAGAAGTCCAAGAAACGGAAGCGAGAAAAAGAGTCTGCAACTGCTTCTCTCACGAAAAAACAGCGGAAAGCATTGCAATCACTCTACCCCGAACCCCTCGTCTCGTTTGAGTTGCTACGGTCGAGGTATAATATTTCAAGGCGTTTGTTGGAAAATATACGCAATCAAGGGTATACTGTACCTACAGAGGTACAGCTTGGCTGTCTACCAATGCTGCTTGGAGGGCTGTGTGCATTGACAAAAGATGAAAAGGCCAGCAAAGGTTTGGAATGTGAGCCTGACCTTCTTACGGTTGCTCCCACTGGAAGCGGGAAGACATTGGCATTTATGATCCCACTTATCAGCAAGATAATGAAACACCGACACCAGAAATCTGGCGAGCAGTCAAAAGGAATTCTAGGCGTTATTGTTGCGCCGACAAAAGAGCTTGCGAGCCAAATTACAAATGAGGGCAGAAAGCTCGCTCTGGGTACTGGGGTTAAGATTACATCTATGCGCAAGGGTATGCGCGTAGTAGAAGAACGTGGTGGAGATTATACCAAACAAGAAGATGATGATAGTGAGGATGGAAGCAATTCCGACAGTGATGAGGAACGGCCAAAAGAACGAGCAAAGTCTCTTGCGACAGTAACGAAGAGTGACATCCTAGTTACAACTCCATTGTTATTAGTCAACGCACTTTCTGACAACGGCCATAAAGAGCTTGCCTCAATGCCTTTAGTCGAGTCGCTTATCCTTGATGAAGCAGATGTGCTTCTTGACCCCCTATTCCGGGATCAAACGCTTAAAATATGGCAATCATGCGTTAACCCTAGGCTACGTGTCGGTTTGTGGTCTGCCACAATGGGATCTAATATCGAAGAACTGGCCAAGGCAACCATTGGTGAACGTCAAAAGGCTCTAGGCCTAGAAGAAGAGTCCTCCCTCGTCAGACTAGTTGTTGGTCTAAAGGACTCTGCTGTCCCAAACATCTCCCATAAACTCACGTACGCTGCGACGGAGCAAGGCAAGCTTCTAGGTTTAAGACAACTTCTACATCCAACAACGGCTACAGCATCTGCTGGCAAACATCTTCGTCCTCCTTTTATCGTTTTCACTCAAACTATTCCACGAGCAGTGGCTCTGCATTCTGAACTGATGTATGATATTCCACCTGAAGCAGGTGGCTCTTCCCGGATCGCGGTTCTACATTCGGAACTTTCCGACTCTCAACGGTCCGATGTTATGGCTGGGTTCAGGAAAGGAGAAATCTGGATCATCATTACCACTGACCTTCTTTCTCGAGGTGTGGATTTCCGTGGAATCAACGGAGTTGTCAATTACGATATCCCCAACTCAGCTGCTGCTTATGTGCATAGAGTTGGGAGGACTGGTAGAGCTGGTCGAGAGGGTGGTGTTGCGGTTACTTTCTACACTAAGGAGGATATACCGTATGTCAAGAATATTGCCAATGTGATTGCTGCGAGTGAGAAACTCCGTGGTGGTGAAGGCCACGAGCCAGGTATACAGAAATGGCTTCTTGATGCGCTTCCCGACTTGACAAAGAATGACAAAAAGGAATTAAAGCGCCATGGAGTCCAGGCCCGGAGACGAACACCCGCAATGGTCAATGATAAGAACCGCCGCGCAACCCGTATCAGCACTAAAAGCGGTTTTGAAAGGAGGATGGAGAATAAGAAGAAAGGGGCTATCAAGGGCAGTCAGGCCAGAAAGCTTGCTCAAGAGGCCGATGGTGATGCCATCGAAGAGGAAGAAGCATGGAGCGGCATTGAGGGCTAATATATACATCCTATTGCGTGATACCGTAATTGATATTTAGATCTTAAAAAGAAAATAAAAGAATATCAACATGAACGATCTAGTCTCCTACTTCCTGTTACACTATAGCCAGTATTTCAATTCCTTAGGTTCATGGCCTTGATTCTCTTGTTGAAAATTCCCAGCTCGTATTTGCCTTGCAATTCCGGATCAACAGCACGCCGATGCCTCCGCATTTCATATAGCCGAGATCCATTCCAACTTCTTTATTATAAAGTCAATAGCATTACTCCAGATCAATAGTAACATCAAGAGAGTGTGTATCGCTATATCTATAACCAGTTAAGGATGCCTACCAAAACTGCTGTCCTTACAACCAAGGCCCCTGCGCCACTTCCGGTGCTATCTCAGGCCGTCGTCCACAATGGCATGATATATTGCTCTGGAAGCATTGGAATGTATCCCAAGACAAATCAATTAGTCTCTGGAAGCGTTGCAGAGAGGACGGTCAGTCCGAATATCCATTGCCTCAATATACTATAGTCAACTACTGATCCCTCTATAGCATCAAGCTCTAAGGAACCTTTCAGCAGTATTGGAAGCCGGCGGCAGCAGCTTGAAGAATGTCGTCAAAACAAACGTCTTCATTTCCACCATGGATGACTTTGCGGAAATGAACAAGGTGTACCAGTCTTATTTCAAAGATGAACCGAAACCAGTAAGTTATTCCAATACTTTTTGATCTTTGGTTTGTTAACAGTGTGTTAGTGCCGGACTTGCGTTGCCGTGAAGCAGCTACCGTTAGATACCGACGTTGAGATTGAATGCATAGCCTATCTGTATGAACCATCCACTGAACTGCCTCTGTCCATGGTTGAATCATCTAACTGGATTAATAAAAACAGGAACGATGTGAAAGCTAAACTATAGAGCCAAATTCATGACTAGAGTTAGGTTTCAGACAGTAATGGCTACATAAAAATGCTACGTCAACTTTTTCAATTCTTGTTGTGCTATTAACCCATAGGCAGTGGATAATATAGACAGTAAAGGCCCACTCCATGTAACATTGAACCTATACGGGCTGCAATATCGGTAAAATAGCCTTCAGTCATCGAAGGGTGAGCACCATACCAGGCATAGCACCTTAGAATATTAAAAGCCCAAGGGAATCAAGACATGGATAGGCACCTGGCATCAAGAACCGCATCAGGTAGACAATTTTTTTTAGGCCATCAATGACAAGATCGATCGCGGAAGCCGGGGTTGAATCACAGGTCAATTGCTCAAACATGCATGATTTGTAAAGGCTCCGGGTATCATAGTTTATTCATCTCGAATTTAGGCACTAGAGTCCTTAGCAGAAGCCAAAGGACGGGCCCAATCGCATGCAACCTGGCTCATTTTCATGGCATTTTCCTTTGCCATTGCGCATGCAACTTCGGCCTCTTTTGCCGCCTGGATGGCAGTTAACATTGCCTTTTCAGCATCATGCGAATTGTTCACGGCTTCAATAAGAATCTTGCCAAGCTATAAAATATGATCGCCAACAGTTAGCAATTATTTAGAAACATTCAGGGTTTAATGACACTTACTCTAATTAGCTTCTCCTTGCGAGATGTATCGACTTCATTCCGCGCTGAATCAAGAATCTCCATCGTGATAGTGCTAATCCTTCCAGTGTCTCTTAGTGCAGGGGAGCGTGGAGGTTCGAGGTGGCGGTAACTGATGTCTCCATTTGAAGTGCCACTTGGAATTCCGCTTCCACCAGTACCAAGATGAGGAACAGAGTGAGACGCTGGCACAGATAGTTTGAAGTTACTCGTAACCGTTGGCTTCGCATAAGAAATCAAAGGGCGCATGATTTCTTTTGGTGCCTCAGATTTATTCTTTGAAAACAATCCACGGAAATTGGAGAATACTCCTTTGGAAGATGACCCTTTGCCTTTGATTGGTTGCGGAGCGGTGGTGATAGGATCAGCAGAGCGGTGATGACGCTTCTTATGACGCTTATCTTTCTGTCCCTGGCTATCTGCATTCTGTGACGAAGGCTGATCTGGTCCGATGTGGATATCATTGTTTGGTCTAGGCCTATAGTGGGCTCTATCGGTAGACTGTCGGTGTGGGTATCTTCTAGGCGAGCCATACGTAACACTAACTTTGCTATTATGCCGAGGGCTTCTAGGAGAATTCACCTTAGATGCTTCATTCTGGGACTTCCTAGTGCGCTCTACTGGGCCAGCGGACTTGGATGGAGATGGGGAATTGTCTGTCACAGCCACGGGAATAGAGCTCTTTTTGGCAGATTCAATAACTGGGGAGCTGCAAGGCTCTTCGTTGGGTTTTCCAGGCTCTGCAATTGGTTCCCTATCTATCGATGTAGATTGCTTTGAATTCAAGTCTTTACCTTCTGTGTCTAGGAACGGGTCAGCATCAAGCTTGTCCGAAGCTGGATGAGGTAACTCCTTTTCGGGGGAAGATTTTCGTCTCATTGACCGATGGCCAGAGGATGCTCGGCGAATTCCAAATTCAGCGCTCTTTGCTTTTGAGATTGATTTTCCGGCTGGTCCTCCAGCAGGTGTAGGACTGCCTTCCTCCGCTGGAGGTTTACCACTGAAGGACAGCCGATAAGATGAACTCTTGGAGCGCTTTGAGGAAAAGGTCGCAAAGAGGCTATCAGTGGAGAGTCTAAATTCCCTCTTGTGTCCGGATTGACGACTAGGACCACGACTAGGACCACGACTCTCTTTCATATTCTTCTCCAACACCTTGATATCATCTTCACCCATGATGAGACGCTCAGCCTCTGATGAAATACGAAGTTGCGGGCCGTGGCATGGGGCAGATTTCGAAAGCTGCTTCACAGTGATATCATCCGAGAATGGGTCGGCATTTTCCTCTATTTCCTTGGTTTTACCGTTCATTTCACCCTGGGATCCGTGTCGCAGATTTATGCTAGAATGGATATTGCCCTTGTCCATTCCAGAAGGACTTTCCTTTGCCACTGCCCCATTGGTGGTGAATTTCTCTGCTCTATCAAAAATAGCAGATGGGGTGGTACCTTCAGGTAAGTTTCCAGGCCCGTTATCCTCCCTATTCTGCTGGAGCATACGAGTAGGGAGTGGGATTGAGCTTCTCTTTGAAGGAGAGAAGACAGTTGTTTTTGAGCTATGACCAGCCCCTGAACCACTCTCAGGGAATAAATTCCGCGGCGACATTCGAGGAATTTTAGAACCGCTTTTGTCCGTTCGAGGCGTAGTATTTAGTGAGGCTGGAGAATAGGGGTTTGATGGAGTAGGTGTTCCCATTGGCTTTTGTCTGGGGTTCATGGCACCAGGTGTCCTAATAGGCGAAGGAGAATTTTGAAATGAGCAAGAGGATGCTCTATTCTCTCTCGTCAGGAAATGGTTCATACTGCCAGGTGAAGATGCAACCCTAGGGCGGTCTCTAAATGGGTTAGACTTGGGAACCCGAGAATAATAGCCTGGAGATACCCCTGTGCCATGATAAGCAAAGGCTCGTTCCGTCTGTACTGGATTTCGGTAGAAATCGGTAACAACCTTCAAGTTTTGAGGCTTTCTAGGTGGAGAAAACGGACTCTCCATTGAAGATTGACTGGGAGCAGATGTGCCCCATTTCGTAGAGTCAAGACTAGAAGCCTCTGCCGCACTACTCTCAGGCAGGTAATCTTCTTTCACCTCACTTGTCTGCCCTTCACCTTCTTTACCAACCTCCATGCAAGCTGTGGCCTTTGTAAGTTTGGATAAAGCATCCGCAAACATACGAACCCCATCAGGGATTGGAATGTGTGCGTCTTCTTCTTCAATCCGTGTCAACTTAATCTCATCATTACCATTCGGTTGGTCATTGCTTGTGGTATCTTCCTTACTGTCTTCAGCTTGTTCTGAGGCAGTTGTCGCCCATTCCTTATCAGAAGGAGAACAAGGAGGAAGGTGTTGCGATAAGTCTTTGCTTGTTTCAACAGAAGTATGTATATCCGAATTACATGTTGTATCAACCCCTGAAATAGGCCCAGGTGGGTAGGGCAATGGCTTTTCCGAAGCAAGCTTCTTATCAGTAACATTTTGAATGGGAGCATTCTAAGTAAAGGGGGGGAATCAAACAGATCAGAATCGATGTTCTAGCAATTTAGACGCGTTTATGCAGTTCACATACATAATTGCACTCCTTGGAGCTCCTATCTGGACATGGGGTAGACTGTTGCTCCGTTTGAGTTACAGAAATCAATCGATAAGAACCCTAAGCAAGCAGGTGTCAGCAGTCATGTAAGCTTTCATTTGGGAACATGCTTTCCACGTACAACACCTGAGGATTGACCGTTTTTGTAAGGAGTTCTTTTGCTATAGTTCGTCGACTTTGCCGATGTGGAACGAAACGCATCCACTCCCTTTGACGCGACTGATGCCCAAGTCTTCTGACGTGGTCTGCTAGAGCTAACAGGCAAGGACCTCGTAGGTGTCTCCGGGCGTGATTGTTTAGGTCTATCAACCGAGGGTCTTCGAGAAAGGCCTGAGTTGGGGGGGAATAGCTGGTGACTCGGGCTGATGGGTGTCATAAACCGAGGGTAAGCTGGCTGCGTATTGTCAGTGGACTGGATTGAATTGTTTGAAACCGTGCTCTCATTCGTAATAGTAGGCTCGCAAACGGCCATTCCATCTACCTGGTCCTCCATGTTGAACGTGTCTGCTCGAGTAGATGAGAGGCGTAGACCTTCTCAGCAAGCACGTCCTGTATGGGCCATACACAGATCACAAGATGTAGAGTGAACACATTTCGGTATCAGTTAGAGCATAAGCTGGAGGACAGAAGACTCCACGAAAATGAATGTTGTAGTTTAAAAGGTGGGAGATGACATGTGTTGGTGTGAAGGGAAAGAAATGAACGAGTTCGAGTACGCAACGGAATAACTTGTCACGTAGCTCGAGTGCGAGAAGAATATTGAAATAAAAGCCTATTGTGAATAAATCCGGTCAAAGGACAAAGGGAGACTAAGGAATTTGCCAGGTCTAGAGGCTTAGAGAGTAATGATATCAAGGTCTCCGGCAAAATATGAAAAACAAGTCAATATCTAATAGTACTTAGTACTATACAATTATCATAATCGCAATGGATGGTGAGAATATTGCGCTCTTCAGAAGCACAATATATAGTTAGAATCAAACGCGTGAATATATTATGATAGATTAGGGTCCAACAATCCAAGCTTGAGCAAGAGTTCTCTGGCTGATTTCAAGAATCTCCAGAATAATCAATGGGTGATGTACAGAATGCCGGTGATCGCAGATGATATCTGATGTCAGAAAGAAAACTCCATAACAATGGTAGGGAATGGAACAAAACTGAACTCCAATGGCCATGGATTGAAAAATACGGGATCGGATAGCAGAATTAAAGATTTAAAAGTCAAGACATGTTCACAGTTTTGAGAGATCTTCAGTCGAGCCTCCGGGGTATGCTTTTGGAGGCAATTTTGATATGCAGTCAAGAAAGACGGCTCACTCCTAACGATCTCGTTAGACCACGCCAATAGTCTTAGCATATAGTAATAATGGCATAAGATAAACAAACCTGAGGGGATTTTCTTTTGGCGGAAATCCTTGGGCTACCAGTGGTTTCACTGGTCTCTGTGGAGATGGATGGGACGGTGTCATGCCACTCGGTCACCTCCCATTCGACATGCATCGTATCGTTACCTCCGACGCCCCTGCGGTGTTTCCCTACTCTCCCCAGTCGGCTTCCTTCAATCATTTCCTCAAACCAAGGAATTCCTCCCAGAGTACCGCTTTGGCGGGTAACAAACACCTGTGGTTCCGCGGAGGCGACTTGCCTCGACGAGGAAGCCGCGGGAGTAATACTTCTACTAGATGTAACCGGAGCAAGCTGTGTTCCAGCATCGACATCTTCCGGGAGTAGCCCCAGGTCCTCAAGGGCGCTCTGGTCCTGGCCGAAGAGGCTGCCCACCGTAATCGACATGTAATCAGCCTCCTCGGGAGGACTCTCGGTCCAGTAAGTCAATGGCGTACCGCAAAAGCCACAGAAGACACGCCGACAATGCGGATCATCCGGAGGGATAAAAGTGCGTCGAATAGCAGAATGAGTCTCGTCAGGGAAGAAGGACACGGTTGATGATTGATACCACTCAAGAGGCACTCGGAGCCATGCGGTCAACGGAGCGGCCTGCGTCCGACCTATAGACGACAACATCAGCAATCAGAGCATATGACGAACGCATCATTGAGCTATGCGCGGTAGAATACTCACGATTGACACTGCTCGAGTCGAAGTAGACCTCGGCCTGGTCACTGGCATCAAGTGGGATGTTGATGAAACATTTGTTTCGCCCACAAGAACAACCGCCTCGAAGTGTCTGGCTCATGGTATCAATCAGAAAGATTCAGGTAGAGACGTAATTCCTAAAGACTCAATTCAAAACGAGCGGGAGATAATCGCATCGCGAGACAAAGCGCTGCTCTGCTCCTGTTCTTCATCGTCTTCTCTTCCTCTTCTTCTTCCTGGAGGTTGTTTTTCCCTTAAAGTCCAACTTTCATCTAAGTATGATGTTATAGATTAGGTAATCATGCATTAGTTAGGTGATGTCTTATGTAATTAATGACGTAACTGCTTAGTCATATTTTCACATGCGGAGATATTCCCGTTATCGGGCTTCTCCTCCGCGCTCCGCAGCTCCTTTTTTCAACTTCCAATCAATGTCATCTGAACAGCAAAGAAATAGCAAGATCAAGGTCGCATGAAGGACGAGACGAGTGCCCAAGAGAGACGGCCAACCAAGCAGAAGCCATAAAAGGGCCGTTTGCGCTTTGTGTTCCGTGTTATTTGTTTGTTGCTCGCCAACGGGTTACCAGCCTACCTCCTCCTACCCCCTCCTACCCCCTCCTATCCATCGTCATGGCTCCTGCAACTTCGCCAACAGGAGCTGCCGCCGCTCGAAAGCCTAGCTCAACCCCCGGCGAAGATACCGAGCAGCAGACGAAGAGAACGTCCAACTCGCCCTCCGATGCCCGGCCTGCTACGTCCGAGAGAGAGAAACCTCGTCTTTCTGAGCAGGAGAAGAAGAACAACCATATTGCCTCTGAGCAAAAGCGCCGGGCAGCCATACGTGAAGGGTTCGACCGATTAACCGAACTTGTGCCGGGTCTGACTGGTCAGGGCCGTAGCGAGGGCATGGTTTTGCGCAAAACTGTTGATTTCATGCAACTCAAGGTCCAGGAGCGAAAGGATTTGATTGAAGAGATCGAGCAGCGGGGAGGAAAAGTCGATGACAGGCTGCGCAATGTTACGGAAGCCATTAGATGATTTTGTCGTTTAACAATTTTTCTACACACATTGCAGTATGGATGGGCAGGCGGCGTTTTCTTGGGGCTTTCAGGTTTAAGGGGGGGATGGGGGTTTGGATGGACGTATTGAGCGGTGATACCCATCAAGTCAATGTCAAATCAGTGGCTTTTAGGCTCTCATTTTTTTACCTGTGTTTAACAAGTAAATCAGAATATAAACATGAAATGAGAGGTTAATATTCTAGATTGAGCATCAATACTTGAGCATTGCGTTTTCAGGCTTTGCAACCAACTTAGAGACGCCCTGGGACTGCAGCAAAGCCTATTTGCATCAGAAGCTGCTAGTACGCTTGAACGATATAATCCTGCCCGCCACCGAGTCTAAATGTAATAAGACGTCCTAGATCTGTTGATCCATCCTCCTGCACGCCCGTTTCTTCAAGGTCCCGAAACAGCTTGTCGATGTACTCCCCCGCGCCCGAGAGACTCAGAATTTTAGCTATTGCCCGGTGTAGAGCGAGTAATCGAGGAGATGGGGGGTCGATCGTTTTCCCATCGCTAAGAAACAGTTTCCGTGTCACAGGTAGTCCTAGTCGTTCAGCATAACCTGGAGTGTCGATACTTTCGATACGGTAGGTATTTTCCTCCCCCGAAACAGCTTCAAAATAGATCTCAAAATTTCCAAAGATGTTATGGAAATCATGTGTGAGACTGATAGCATTGCGAGGACTATCGATGTAAGGCCCTTCTATGAGGCTTGCAACATCACAATCAAACATATTTAAGATATTAATGGCAGTCCTTCTTGCATCATTCTACTTAACAGTTAGTATACCCGCAATGAAGATTTTCTTTTGTTATAATAACTTACAAGCTGCAAGTCCTTCTCCACTTTTACAAGGGAATGTGGTAGTATGTGCGCAACTTCCAAGAAACCCCTTGGATCTTCGACTTTGATCACATTTCCATCGTCATCCATCACGACTGGTCCATGTTCACGCAGTCGGCGACGCTCCTCTTGCATGTCAAAAACTCGAGAAACAACACAACGATGACGGTCGCGGATAAGGCACAAGGACCTAAGATACGAAACTCTTTCCACGGTGCCGATGATCTCATGGGGTGATTGAATGCTTCTGATGGCAGAAATTTGAGCTGGCGTAGGTTGTGGTGTTCTCTTCCCACTTGCTTTCACTAGGTAGATATTAGTAAAGAGAATGTCATATATTTACTATCAAAAAGGCGGGGCACAAACATGGGATAAAAAATTGGTCGAGGAGCATATCTGCGAAACCCTTGAGTTTGTCTGTGAGCCGGCTATCGTCTGTGTCAATATCTGCATCACTGTCGATATCGAAACCCATAAAATTAAAGAAAACCCGCAGAAACATATCCTTTGATATATCTGAGGCCGAAAACTCGTAGGAATGGAGGATGAGCAAGTTGCGGTGGTACCCCTCCTTCATACCAACCTCATCACCAACACGACGAACAACTCGATACAAAACATCTTGAGCACGAGAACGCTCTACTCCAGCCAGGGGCGGTAGTTGGTCATAGTTTATGACCCCTTCGAATGATGCTTGGTGGTGGTCGTGAAGTTGGGGCGGAATGGGAGAACGTCCAGGCAAGTCAAGCACTTCCTCACGGTATGGTTGTTGGGAAGCCATAACTACTCGAAGTAGTTAAAATAATTTGCGTAAAGAAACGAAGAAAGGGTGTTAATCTGATTAATGACCCAAGTCAGAGGTATACAGGTAATAGCCGGCCTTAATGAAATCTGACGCCATCCTGGCGCCTGGTGTGAAGAGTGTAGGAAGTGAAGTGCAGAAGGTGAAGTATTTAAACTCGCTTCACCATTAGAGTTCACGGGACCCGTCGATGCGGCTCTTCTTCGTGTTTAGTTACTGGACTTGGGGAGCGAAGACGGGGAAGAACGAGGGACACACCCGCACTGACGAGTATTATTGTTTATTAGTGAAGTAACGTCCGCCATCCCACCTCGAAGATGAACATCTTTAGGAGTGCAACCTCATACGTCTACAACATCATACCATCCTTCCAGGAAGACGAAGACGAGACAGATAACAGCAACATGTCCAGCCAACAGACACACCCTTCGGGAATACCATCCGATCCACCACCATCTTACGAAGCCTCTCAACCTGCATCCAAGCCTCATCCGAAGCCACTTCCGCCCTCGCTTCCAGTGCTTGTGAGCCTGCGAAAGAAGAGAGTAATCCTCGCCTCGGCCTCTCCTCGCCGTAAACAGATAATCGCCTTCCTCGGCCTTCCCAATCTTGAAATCATCCCCTCGAATACAGCAGAAAACCTCCCCAAGACCCTCACCCCGTTTGAATATGTGCTGGAAACAGCCACAGAGAAAGGTCTGGCGGTGTATAAGCAGGAGATAGACAACGAGGTAAAGGGAGAGCCAGCGTTGATTCTGGCCGCCGATACCATTGTTGTCAATCCAGAGACAGGGGATATTCTGGAGAAACCACACTCAGAGGTAGAGCATATAAGTATGTTACAGGGACTGAGGGATGCAGGAGATCATAAAGTGTACACAGCAATTGTCGCTATAGCACCGTTGGAGAGTGCACAGGCCCCAGGGTACGCGCTTGAGTCGGTTGTGGAGGAGACGACCGTTCGATTCGACCCTCAGATCACAGACGAGTTGCTGCTCATGTATGTGAGGACAAGAGAAGGTGCCGATAAGGCCGGAGGATATGGAATGCAAGGGTTGGGATCAGTACTTGTGGAGAAGATTAATGGCAGCTACGATAATGTCATCGGCCTGCCGCTGAGAGCTACGCTCAAGCTCATCGAGAAGATAATGACCATCGCAGAGGAGGATGCAGAAATAGACCATGGTGCATTGGCAGATGACGGTTAGACGCCCACGTTAAAGGGTTACGGGTCCGATATTGATAGCATGATTCCCACTTCTGTATTTTACGCACCAAAAGAGGGGGAAGTTTGATGAAATTGAATGCTTTATATGCATATGTAGGTATCCATGGGACCGAAGACAACTTCATGGAAAGGAATAGAAATAAAAATGAAAAGGGGGGCAAAAAAATTGTGTATCAGGGTACAAAACAAGCAGAAATACAGGATATATACATTTACGCCTTCCAGATCCTCTTGAGAGCTTCTGTTACGCCAACATCGTTAGTCTCAAATTCGTACAGGCCAACCGCAGTAGCGAGAGTGAAACCGCGGAGGAGCCAGTTCAAGAAGGCAGAGGTCTTGGGCACACGCCATGGACGGAAGTAATCGGCAATCATGGCCCTGCATACAATTAGCTCAAAACTATCACTTGAACAGATGGTGATGGGTACTGGTATATGACGTACTGGAAACCGATGTGGGAGTGAATGACGAGGGTACCGCAGAGCACAGCATCAAGGACAGGGCTGACCGATCCAGAGGCGAATGGAGCAATTGTGAGAGGAATTAAGGAGGCCGCAACCACTCTATAGAAAGGCGTTAGTTATACCAGCACCACAGCCCCGTACGTAAGTGTACATATTATATGCCCAGTACACACCTCTCAAAGGTCCAATGGTAGCTTCCGTGGGTGGGAGAGGTGGGAGGAATTGGAGCAGCATCATTAGCTATAGATAAGCATTAGTTAACCTGGTATCTTGATGACATCGTATGTAGTTCTTGCGAGGACGTACTGGTTCCGTGGACAACCTCTATAGCAACACCATGATACATTAGCAAACATATCTTGAAAACTCAAGGCCAGAACTTCTCAATTCCTTCCATCTCGCCTGTCAAAAGCACCCAATATTCCGCAGTACTCACGGGGCAATGGTGGCAGGATATCCTTCTTGCTCGAGGCATGGAACCATGTCCGCTGTAGCTGGTTGGCACTCAGTGCGGCCAACGGCGATCTGTGCTGGAAGCCGGCGACGCGGCAGCTCTGCCGGAGAGCGGAAACAGAGGGGCGAACGATAGAGGAGGCCATCTTGGTCCTGGCTGCTGCGATGCGGCGTCGTGGTTCGGTTCGATATCCTCCTCGACTTGGATCTTCGTCGTTGGTTGCACTTGAAGCAAAAGCGAACATCGAAAAACATCCTCGGGAAGCGGAAAGTCAGCAGAATCGGCGGCGTCTGATTGGCCAGCGTCCACTCTTGAGCCGAAAAATCCCGTGATCGATTAGGTAAGACGTGCAGCGGATATAAAGCGTTTCTTGCGACGTTTTGTAGGATCGACGAAAGGCATTCAAATCTTGGTATTGGACTTTAGTACGTTGCTGTTGATCTAACAAGAGTGGCAGGCGTTATAGCAAGGTGTGGTGCTGGCGTCGGTGCTGTTCTGACTGCCCGTCGACCTCAGACATCAGCAATTTCTACGACTCCTCCTAGTCACCAACAACGACCAAGACAAGACCTCTATAAAAACCAATGGATACAAGGCACGAATGTGAACTTTTCACGGCTGATATTGCTATCTTAATTGAAATAGAATTCCCATGACCATCCCAGGTAAACTGAAAATTAACCAAAACCAACAGTTAACAACTCCAAAATGCAGTAGAAGTGGAAAGCCGAAACCAGCGAATTAGGTACACATATCGATTATCTCTTACATCTACAGCTTCAAGACGGCCTTGCCCAGGTTCCTTCCGTGGAAGATACCCACTAGACCCTCAGGCGCATTCTCGATGCCCACCGTCTCCGCAATCAGGGGCTTGAAAGAACCGTCCTTGATCCATTTGGAGACACGCTCGAGGTGCTCCTTCGACCACTTGTCACCCATGCCGGGATCGTTGACAATGAACCCACGCATCGTCAAACGCTTGGTAATGAAGTAGAAGAGGTTCTTGATAGGATATCTCTCCCTCATTTGCAGGTTATACTGCGAAATCATTCCACAGGCGACGATGCGCCCAAAATCATTCATATGTTCGAGGGCAGCCTCGAGGTGATCTCCACCAACGTTCTCGAAGTAGATGTCAATGCCGTTGGGAGCAAGCCTCTTGAGAGCGTCGGCAGGCTTTTC